CTACTACTACTACTACTACTACCACTACTACCACTACTACCACTACTACCACTATTACTACTATTACAACTACTACTACTATTACTATTACTACTACTACTACTACTACTACTACTACTACTACTACTACTACTACTACTACTACTACTACTACTAAGATCTGACTTCCAACCACTAGCTACTAGGTACGACCTACAACCTACTAACTACTAACTACATACTACTTACTACATGCAGCTAGCTACTAACAATTGATCGTTAATTATGTTCGGACCGTTATTCATAACTGAATACCAACTACTACGTACTATCTACTAACTCCTAACTACGAGCTGCTAGCTACGAACTGCTACCAACTTGGTCGCCACATGTAGTTTCGTAGTCTTACCAAACGGAGTTACTTCTCCGGGTAAAAGAAGCCAGACTGATGGGAAATCTCTGTAGCGTCTTAAGGGCACCTCATTGCGATTGACGAAGGTCAGTTTTGACAGAAGTGTGAGGATCCTCGATGAGGTCTCACCCGGGGAACTAACCCTTTCCGAAGGATCCCCAGGAATCTCGAAGGATTCGGTAGTTCACCCGGAGACGTAACCCTTTTCCCGGAGAAGCAACCCTTTTCCTGGAGAAAGAACTCTTCGCCTATCGATGGGGTCGGAGGATCGCGCCGCATCACCGATGAATCGGCGATGCATCAGCGATGCGGCTCGATGTGGTGCTCCATTTTCTCCACGCCGACGTCGCCGATGCGTTGCCGAAGTCGCCGGTGCATGGCCGATGCATCGCCGATGCATCAGCGATGCATCGCCGATGTATCGCCGATGCGGCGAGATCCTCCGATCCCATCCGCGCGGACCCCATCTAGGGGACCTCAAGTGACATACACGCGTTGCCGTTGTAGTGCCTCCCGCCGTCGTGCTCCTCCAGCCCTGGTCCGCCCGCCGCGGGGCCCGCTCCCCCGTCGTCTCCAGAGCAAAAGAGAATTGCCGCCACAGGTCGTCCACCCAATGCTGCACGCCCGACGTTCCCTTGACGAGCCGTCGTCTCCAGAGCAAAAGAGAATTGCCGCCACAGGTCGTCCACCCAATGCTGCACGCCCGACGTTCCCTTGACGAGGGACGCGCCGCATCGCCGATGCATCGGCGATGCCTGTAGGGGGACATACCCGACCTAAGCTTATGTCGGGCGTGTCCCCCTACAGGGGGATTTTCGACGAAAAATCAAAATACCCCCAAAATACCCCCAAAAAGTCAAAAAATATTCCAAAAACAGTCCCCCGACTATTTTTGGACGATGTTTTGATTCTTGTTGGGGCATTTTCCATTTTTCGTCGAAAATTCCCCTGCAGAGGGGACAGGCCCGACTTAAACCTAAGCGCAGCTCCCCTGCAGGGTGACGGGGCGCGCGGGTGCCGCGCCGCGGGACCTGGCCTACGCGGCCGGCGTGGCGGAGGGTGCCCTGACCGCCGCGCGCATCGCCCAGGCGCCGACGCGGAGCGGAGGGCACCAGCTCCTTGGATTCGGTGGCGAGCGAGGAGGAGGAGGAGGAGGAGGAGGAGGAGGAGGAGGAAAGGTGTCTGGAGGTGTGCGGGAGTGATCTTTGTTTTATGAGTGCTTTCTCGCCACGGGACGAGGTTTCAGCAGTCGCGCCTGGCGTTCTGGGGGGGTCCCAAAGTCGTCCCAGACGGCTGATTGAGCTGGACCCAGTCGTCCCAAACCAGATCCCCGTCTTCGTGAAATGACCAAGACGGAGATTGGTTTGGATATCTTCGTCGGCGGCGAGCGAGTGGGGGGAAATGAGAAGGAGAAGGAGAAGGAGAAGGCCTTCTCAGAAGGCGGCGGGACTTCTCAGAAGCCCTTCGCGCCTTCTGAGAGGTTGTTTGGTGTCTTCAGGGAATGCTTAGAAACCTTCTCAGAAGGCCAGGACATTTCCGAGCCTCCTGAGAAGGCCCGCCCCTTCTCCCTTCCTCCCTGGGCGCGCCACCTACAGACCCCCTCGCGTCGTGAAGAATAGCACAGACGGGCGTTGTTGTTGCTCCTCTCGGCATCTGGGGGCCCTCGCCGGGATCCAGGGCCATCTCGGGATGGAGGCCAGTCTCTGGACGCCCGAAATGGGTACGGAAAGAATGGGTACAATGCCCAACAGCAGTTCCTGTTCATTTTGAACAGGACTCGCTGTCCGCGCCGCCGCGGCCTGTGTCCACTTGAGACGGAAGGCCGCCTGCCCAACAGCGGCCGCTGTTTGGGACAACATTTGTTGTTGGGCATTGTACCCATTCTTTGGGGAACCAATTCGGGTGTCCAAAAAGTCCCGGGGCATGGGCAGAGAGACCTCTGGGGGTCCACGCTATCAAAACATGTACGCGTGCGGGGATTGGGGTATGCACCTGCACTGGTCATGGCCAGGGCGATCCTGTGTCCAAGATCTGTGTGTACGCCCTCCTGCCCAGGCCAGGAGGGGGGCATTCACCGAGCCAGGGCCCAGGACAGGCCCGGCCAGGATCGGCGCATGTGTATACCCAGCGCCCTGGCAGTGGGAGGCACAATGGGGTCCCGAGGGGAGCGGGGCCTCGCGTTGTCTCGCCACCTGCGGGCCCTGCGGGGCCCTTCACGGGCCCGTGGGGTGTCGAAAGCCGGCTCGGGATGACGCAGAAGACGCCTCTGGATGAAGAGGTGGCCCTGGGGGCAGGCACCAGGCTCCAGGGCCCGTTTTCCTCAGGAGGGAACGAAACACACAGACACAATGAATCGTCGATTCCCCAGAAAACATGGGAAACTATGGGAAGTGGGGGGGGGGGAAGACAAAAGCCCAGAAAGCATGGGAAAATAGGGGGAATCGGGTTATTTGTGTTGATTTCTTTGTGTGTCCCAGTTCCCCTTCATTTCCTCGGGGCCCGCTCCCTGATCCCCACGGGGCAGGTTCCCTCCCGGATCCATGCCTGGTGGTCCCGTGGCCCGATGACGGGCCCCGAGGCCCGATCTCGAAAATTATCCAAGTGCGACCCTACCTAGGAGTTGGAGGATCTAGAAAAGCAACATCTATATGAAGCTAAGTCAAGCTAAGATGAAGCTAAGCTAAGATGAAACAAGCTAAGCGAAGATGAGAGAAGCAACGCTAAGCTAAGGGGACGTAACTGGGGGAACCGCGGGGCGGATCCTGGGGGAACCGCCCGGGGCGAGTTGCACTGCCCGGCCCTGTAAGCATACCGAGTAAGAACCCGTCTAGGCAGAGCCTAGGTCGGGAAAAAACAGCTCCACAAAAGCATCGTCGGAGGCCCGGGTTCCCGGGGCGCCGACCAGGCGCTGAACGCCAGCCTCGCCGCGGAGTTCGGGGGCGCCCCGGAGCTCTGGAGCAGGGCCGCGGACTTCCTGCGGCGCAACGACGGCTACCACCACCCACCAAACCACCCCGACCCAACCCGAGGGCCTCCATTTGCCCTCCATTTCCCAGTTGGGGGGGGTCGGGGAACGTTGAAAAAACACGTGAACCCGTACCCCGCCCCAGCCCGAAATTCGAGTCTTCGGGTTGGGTCGGGGTTGTATGGTAGGTAGTCAGGCTACGTGCGCGAGCGCGTCGCGGCGGCCGCGGAGGGCGAGGAGGCGGACGGCTACTGGTCCCAGGCAGGGCCCACGTCGATCCGATCGGTCTGATTCGATGCCGATTTTCCAGCCGACCCGATGCGACCCGATGCGGCCCCCTTGTGCTCGCATGGCGTCCTTGTGCATCCTGGCGCGGCCGAGCCGATCCGGTTCCGACACGGTGCCGATGCGGCTCGATGTCGCAGGCCTCGAGGTTGACACCAACACCAATATCGGCGGTGTGCCTCCTTTGAGGGCAGAAGATCCCGATAACGGTGATGGTGGTAATATTCTGGCTTCCAAGGTGACCGAAATATGATCACCAGCACCGAAATCTAGGATCATCTTCCCCCTGTGGAGGCATCCCCCTGTGTTGGTGTTGGTGTCCCTCTCCAGGTTTCCAACGGTGCGATGCACATTCCTATGCGATGCGATGCCCCAAGTCTCGAAGCCGATTGGGCCCGGTGCCAGGTCGGCCTCGTGTGGGCGCAGCTGGACGGGCTGCTGGAGGGCGTGCGCCTGGCGCGGGCGAGCGGAGTGGCGGCCCACGCTGTGGACCGGACGGGCCTGCTGTTTCTCAACGCCCTCGTGGACCTAGCCGCGAGGTGTAAACAACGGCACAGATACAAACTTTCGAAGCTCCGCGCGGACTCCTTCGATCCCAGGCCCCCTCAGGGCAGGAGCAAGGCATGGCGGGAGGTTGCTCGCTACTCTTGGGGGACCTTCACCAAGCCTCGGGACCGTCAACAAAAGACAACTCAGGATGAAATGCCGGTCCCCAGGAGGGGGTGCAGACCTCTGGGGGTCTTTTTGGCATCTTGACGTCATATTTTTGGCATGATTTGACACCCAGAGAGGTCTGCACCCCCTCCCATGGGGACAGGCTTTTCATCCTGAGTCGTCTTTTGTTGACGGCCCCGAGGCTTGGTGAAGGCCCCCCCAGAGGCTGAAAACAGCGAGCAACCTCCCACCATGCTTTGTTCCTGCCCTGAGGGGTTCTAGGATCCAAGAAATCCGCGCGGACCGTCGAAACTTGATGTTTGCGCTGTTCTTTCTGCCTCTACCTCCACCGTCGTCGACCGGCCTTTCGCCGCCGCGGGGCGCGGGTTGCCGGCCGACCCGGCGCGGTGGACTCCGGGGCAGGCGGCAGCGTTCGCGAGCTACGGCACGCACTGCAGCGCCCTGGTGAAGCTGTCCGCGGACTTCTCGGACTTGTGGACGGCCCACAACACCTGGACCTCAGAGGAGGAAAAGGTTTACCAATGCCGCTGCCATTGCCTCTGTTTCGCGTTGTTGGGCCTCCTGGGAGGCCCTCGTCGCCGCGGCTGGATTCGCCTCGAGATTCTGGTCAGGGCGCACCCGGCAGAGGTCCAGCGAGCAGCGGTATCGGTATCTCTTGGTCTCCCCAGGACCGGCTTCTTCACCATGCTGCGGGTCGCAAAACTCTACGACCTGCCCCTGCCAGGCGCGGCAGCCACCAAGTCCGCGTTCCCGGGCTACTTCGGGGCGCTCAGTTCCCTCGACGACTTCTTCGTGCTGTCGTCGGGGATGGTGGTGCAGGAGACGACCAACAGCGTGTTCCCACCGCGGAAGGGCATGTGCACGCCATATTCCGTGCTGACCTGGGCCCGCACGGTGCTAGCCAACCGCATGGCCACCGACGGCAGGAGCTGGACGGAGTGGTTCTCCCAGGAGAACAGTGGCACGATCAACAACCAGTGGATGGTGGTGGATTACAACCGCTTCACCCCAGGGAGCCCACTGCAGAACGGGACGCTCTGGGTGCTGGAGCAGCTGCCGGGCTTCATCGAGAGCGCCGACATGACCCCACAGCTGCGGATCAGCCACTGGCCGAGCTTCAACCAGCCGTACTTCCCCGCAGTCCGAAACCTATCGGGCAACGACGCCATGGCCGCGCGCTTCGGCCTGCAGTACACGTACGACCTGAACCCGCGCGCAAAACTCTTCCGGCGGGACGCGCCCAAGGTGCAGAGCCGTAAGGAGCTGCGCCGGTTCATGCGCTACAACGACTGGCGCCACGACCCGCTGTCGGCCGCGGGGTACGGGGGCGCCACGGATCGAAGAGCAAAGAACACCATAAACATAAATGTTCGACGGACTGCGCGGATCTCTGGGATCGGAGCTGGGCCCCCCTGGGCGGCGCATGCGGCGCATCTGGCGCCGCCCTTGCCTCTCTCCGTGCGCCAGGGAGGGGGCCCAGCGCCGATCCAAGAAAACATCCGCGCAGGCCTCCGACAGTGTATGTTTATTAAGTGCTGGGTGGGTCCTGCGAGGTTTCGCCATGCCGCCCGGTGCAATCTACTTGCCGCCTCGTGCGCTGGGTCCGGCGAGGTTTCGCGACGTCGCCGCCCGTTGTCGCCTCGTTGCCGCCTCTAGCTTGGACCATGTATGTTGCAGCACATAACTTACACCACATAGCGTGCACCACATAGCTTCATAGCTTACGCGTCCACAGGCTTCAGAGCAACAGCTGGTTCTTTGGGGTCCACGAAGATGCGTCTGCAGATTCTTGTTGGAAGCGGCCCAGGGGGCCTGCGATGTATGGGCCCCGAAGAGATGGGCCCAAAGGGGGGGACGAGTGCCAATCCGCTCGTGAGGGGTCCCGGTGTGGCAGCTGGCCAGTATGCTGACACGCGCCCCGCCGTGGCGACGAGGCGGGCCGTTGCCCCTCCTGTCTGCTGGCTGGAGCCCGCGCTGGGCCACCGCAGCCGCCCGGCCGGCTCCCGAGCTCCTGGCTCCTCGGAAGGAGCCGCGCTCCGCCGAGAACGCCATCGCCGCGAGGAGCGACCTCATCCCCCGGGAGGCCGCCACGCCCGAGCAGGCCGCGCTCCGCGGGGCCCACGGCAACACCGACGCCAAGCTGGTGGGCCGGGGCGACGTCCGCGGCATGCGCTTCGATTTCGTGGCCGTCGGCGAAGAAAGCTGGGGCAATGCTCGCGTTGCGGAGCAGTCACGACGGACAGTTTTTGGCCGGTTTCGGCCCCTGGGGGCCCTCGCTGGGCCCCAGGACCGTCGAAAAGCGGCTCGGGGTGCAAAACCGGCCCCAGGGGCTGGGTCCACGAGAACTCTGGGGGTCGACGCTGTGAAGAAGTCATGCCGCCTGGGGTCTGGGTCGTCTTTGATTCGAAGAGGTGGGAAACGGCACAAACACAAGAACGTCGGGAGCTCCGCGCGGATCTCTTGGACCTGGGCTGGGGCCCACCCCTCCCTGGCGCGCGCCAGGGGGGGGGGGGGGCTCCAGCGCCGACCCGAGAAGTCCGCGCGGAGCTCCGAAGGTCTGTGCCCATGCCGTACCCGCTCCTCGATCCGTGGCGCCCCCGTACCGATCGGGGGCCTGTCGCCGCGCTACTGGCGCCGCATCGCCGGTTCAAGGTTCATGATGCGCCAACCTTCGACGAGCGCGTTCCACTAGTCGCAAAGTAACTACTCCATGGCCTGGATCCCTCGCGGGGCATCGACGACAAATCATATTGAAGCAGGCGGGTGTTGTTCGGTCGCTTGCGAGTAGGCGCTTTGCGAGTAGTGGAGTGCGCTCGGCGAAACCTACTCTAGCCTGGATCACCAGAAATACTTTCGAGCACCAGGAGAATTCCGAATCTTGAGGGTTTTCACGCGTCGGCCCTGGAAGGCGATGCTCGTTCGACGCCGTTTCGACAATCGTCTGGGTGCTCGAAACCACTGGGATGTGGTCCTCAAGTACGATGGGGGCAGCGTAGTTCAAGGTCGATGTCTCCCGTGCCCCCCCGCTGACGTTGCCCCTCCAGGTCGGCCCCACCCACGACGACCAGCCCGTCTTCACGTGGGCGGGGGAGTGGGCCGCCACGCCGCACGACGGGCACCCCGAGGCGGAAGTCGGGCCTGTCCCTCTACAGGAGGAAAAGTTTAAACATGGTCAAAACATTGTCTGGGGACGATTTTTGTTTGAGCATTTGTTGGTTGCTGTTTGAAGTTTGTTGGTTCGTCCAAAATCCGCCTGTTGGAGAACATGCCCGAGGCGTTCAACTTCACCTGGGCGTCCGCGGACTTCTCGCGCCTGGACCGCCCAGCGGAGGAGGGTGGCGAGCCCGCGGCCCAGGCGTTCACGGGCCCCCACCTGCCATCCCAGCGTGCACCAGCCGTGACCTCAGAGCAGATAAAAGGTACCCATACCTCTACCCTTCGCTCGTGTTCCCCCTTTATGGGCCTCCTGGGCGGCCCTCATTGCCACCGCTGGATTCGCTTCGAAAGCCTGGTGAGAACGTACCCCGAGAGGGTCCGGGAAGTAGCAGTAGCGGTACCTCCTGTTCTCCCCATGACCATGGGGCCTTTGGGCCCAGGATCGGTGGATCGAGGTTGGCACCAACACCAGTATCTGCGGTTGCCTCCGCCGAGGGAAGATGATCTTGCTCTCGGCGATGGTGGTAACATTCGTGCTTACTAGGTGGCCAGCACTAAAAAATCCAGCAACATCTTCTCCGATTGCCGGGCCCCCAAGGATGTTCAGGAAAAGTTAAAGCAGACGATGTCGGAGGTACGCGCGGGGTTCTTGGGTCGGCGCTGGACCCCGCTGGCGGCGCATCCCGCGCCGCCCCTGGTGCGCTGCGCGCGCCAGGGAGGGGGTTCCCGCGGAGATCTAACAAGCCCGCGCGGGCCTCCGAACGCTTCTGCTCGTGCCGTGTTTCCCCAAGCAGTGCTTGCACGTAGCGGTTCTCGTTTGTCGTTGCAGAGCTGGGCCTGTCGGTCGGTTTGACCGCTATGTTGCCGCCGTCGCCGCCCCGTCGCCGCGTCGTTGCCGCGCGTCGTTTGGGCCTGCCTGTTGGTTGCCGCGCTTGTTGCCGCCGTCGCCGCCCCGTCGCCTCCCCCCATAGATTGCACAACATAGCGTCCACAGTATAGATTCCACCACATAGGTTGTGCACCACATAGATCGCAGTACATCGAATGCACCACATGGGTTGCAGATCAGACGTTGCAAAACCTAGATGGTGTTGAGCCACATGCATTGCTCCAAAGATATTCGACCTCGTTTATTAGTTCGAGCTCCTGGTCATTCCGACCTCCTGGCAGCCTTTTGGGGGCTTAAGACGGGTGTTTGCGCCCACCCGCTCGCGCGCGGGCGCGCGGGCGTGCGATTGGCGCTGCGCGGGGGAGGCCAGCCCGAGTGCGGCTCGGAGGGGCCCAGGCAGAGATGCCTCCCCCCGCCGCGATGCGGCGCCCCGCCTCGCGGCCCTCGGCGCCCGTGGCTAGGCGGCCCGCTGGCACGGCGCATGTCGGGCCAAGGAGTGCGGCACGGCGCTTCAAGGGCCGGGTCCGCGCCGCGCGAGCCAACCGCGGGCCGCCTCACGCGGGCGGCGCAGGGGGCCCCCGCGGACGTTCCAGCACCGTGCCGCGCCCCGCGAGTGGCGCCCGCACTCGCGGAAGCGGCAGCGGCGGCGGCGCGGCCGCGAGCGGCGGCGGCGTGCCGCGCGGGCGCTCAGCCCCGCGAGGCGGAGACCTTCGCGAGGCGGCGAGGAGGTCCGCCGCGGTGCCCGAGGCAGGCAGCGGCGAGGCTTTCGACGTGGAAGACGAGTGGCTCGAGCCCGCGGTCACGCGAGGCGTGGAGCGCAGGGCGTCGGAGTGGCGCTGCAGTGCCTACCCAACGCCCGCGAAGTTCGGGCCCAGGCGAGGGGAGGCGCCGATCGTCGACGTCGAGCTCGACGGCCTCGTCATCTTCAATGTGCTGGGGCCCGCGACGGACGCCGACGGCCGCAGGGGCAAGTACGGCCGTGCGGGCTTCGACGGGATGTTCGAGGTCGTGCACCTTGGGGCGGAGCTCGAGGCGGAGCGTATCCGGATAGGTGTCGCCTTCGGTGACCCCGCCGAGGTGCCGCTCATGCACTTTTGCCCCGCTGGCACGGACCATAGCGAGTGCCAAAACGGGCAGGAGGGCTCGGGCTCGAAGTCCTACGACGCGGCGATCATCCACGTCGGGCGCTGGAGGTGCTCGAAGTTGCCGTTCTTGGGCTACGCGGGGAAGGATACCTCTCGTGCTAAGGTGGACAAGGCCATCCACACCGCACGGGCGAAGGCGAAGGCAAAGCAACGTCCCTCGGGTGCGACGAAGCCCAGGACGCCCCCGATCCCCGTGGAGGATGACGAGGAGGCGGAGGACGAGGAGGCACCGCCAGAGCGGGAGGGCCCAGGGGGCGGCGCGAGCGCGCGTGCCTCTGCGGTCGCTGGGCGCGAGCACGGCCTCAGGGAGAAGCTCGAGAGCCTTCGCGATCGGGTGGCGGACAGGAGGCTAGGTCTGCAGCCCACCGCGAAGCGCAAGAGTGCCCGATCCGTCGTCCGCCTCCGCTCCAGCAGCTCACGGGCCCGTGAGGCCGAGGACGACGAGGGCGCGGAGGAGGCCGAGGAGCTCGAGGAACCCTCTGCGAGGCGTGGCCGCTCGAGCAGGCGCTCGGACCGCAGGGGAGAGGGCGCGCAGTCGCCCCAGGACCGCATCCTGTCGAAGGCATCGGTCCAGGGCGGCGCAGGGTCGCAGCCCAGGCACGGGTCGCGGTCGGGGGGCGGGAGCTGCGGTCGCTCCCACCGCTCTCGATCCCGCCGCAAGGCGAGCAGCGACAGCTCGGGCTCTCGTTCCTCCAGTGATTCACGGGGCCATTTTCCCGACGTCCGACTCTCGGCACGTGACAGGACTAAGCGTGCTGTGGAGAGGAAGCCGGGCGAGATCACGCAGCGTGCTTTGGACAAGATGAGGTCGTACCTTGGCGCTCACGGCCATGACTCGGGCGACCCGACGTGTCCCGTGATGACCACGTGCTCCGCGAGCGCCTTCCTGCCGAGTTGCCAGGGCAAGCTGAGTGCCCGCGACGAGAAGGAGATGCGGATGCTGCCGGAGGCCGTGGACTCGATCCTCCTGCCCGACTTGAGCCGCGCCACCGACTTGTTGATTCAGCAGTTCAAGGCGGCAGAGCAGCGCCGCGCCGACGAGGGCTCGTGGCGGACGGCCAGGCACCTCGGCGTCGCGGGGGACAGCAAGGCGTCGGCCATGGAGGCCACGGAGCGCCAGGGCATCCTCAAGGACGAGAAGTCTGACTTGAAGTACGCGAAGCCCCAGTCCGATGTGCAAGGCCGCAAGTCCGCCATGCATTGACAAACCCCCGCGGGGGGCGCGCGGGAGGCGTCGCCACCCCCGCGGGGTCCGGGCCCGGGGAGGCCATCGCTGTCCCCTGGGCCATTCGCGGCCGCGGGCTCGCGAGAGCGCGGTCCAGCGGTGCTTCGGGGCGCTTCCGAGGTGGGCGCCTCCTCTCCGCCCCGTGGCGGAGGCGACCGAGCCCGCTTCTCGAGGGGCCCACCTCAGCGGGCGACCTGTAATCCTGCCAGCCCCGCGGCCAGCCTGCGCCCCGGAGACGGGCGGGGGGACCTGCCGCCCGACGAAGAAGGTCGAGGTCGCGGCGGGCCCAAGCCACGCTCACCCAGCAGATCCCCGCCGTGGAAGGGCAAAGGAAAGAGCCGGGGCAAGCGCAGGGGCGGCGGCAAGGGCAAGGGCTCCAAGACCGACCAGCCGAAGCCAGGGACTCCAGCTTTCTTCGTCAAGATGCGGCAGGCTGCCAAGGCCAAGCAGCAGGCTGCCCGCGGCGGCAGCCCTGCCAGGGGCGCCCGCTGACCTCGCCCGTCCGTGGGCGATAGACCCCCCCGCGGCGCGGGCCCCAGCGCCGCGGGGGGGGAGTCCCTGCCTGAGAGGCAGGAGGCAGTCCGGGGGCGACCAGCCACTTCCCAACGGAGGCGGAGTGCAGGGCCTACATGGCACAACATCCGTTGGAAAGGCTGAGGCAGATCATCCAGCCCGACGCCATCAAGGGTTCCGATCTCGCCGTGTTCGGAGAGTTGCATTACTCCGCGCGCGCCTCCCTGCCAAGCTGCCAAGGGTCGATAGCAGCGCTGCGGCGGCACCAAACGGGGGCTCTAGCGGCAAGGGCTGCGGTCGGAGAGACATCTTGCCGCCCCCTGTGGGGGGGGGGCGCGGGTTCGAGCATCTGCGCCGACGGACGCGGACCTATCGGGACCTTGCTGAGAATGGCGACTGGGCTGGCCGTCGTCGCGCTCATCCCGAGCCCCCTGGCCTGGAGGCGTGGCTGGAGTGCTGCGTCGTGGCGCTCAACGCCACGTGGCTTGAGGGCGACGCGTGCTGGCCACAGCTGTCGGCGCTCGGTAAGGGGCGGCACGTCGCTGCGGGTCGGGCGCGCGCGTTCTGGACTCTGGGGCGGCGCGCGGAGGCCTTCCCGGGGCTGCAGCCTGAGCCGCTGCCGAGCGAGCCAGCGTCGACCTTTTTGGCGTCGCGCAGCATCAGCTATACCGGGGAGGCGGTCCGCCGAGCCGAGGGGCTGAGCTGGGCCCGTGTCCTGCCTGGGCTGCCGCCCAAGGATCGGTGCGCGACGCTGCGGGTCGTGGGCCTCCGCGGCGAGCGCATGGCCTGCCGGTTTAACGATCCGCTCTCGACGCTGGCGCCGCTGGACACGGCGCCAATCCGCCCGAAGCCTGGGCGCGCCATGCGCGAGCAGGAGTCGCCGCTTCCTCTGGCGCGCCGGCTTTTGGAGCGAGGGCCGGGCATTCCCCTTGGGAGGCAGACCTCTTGAAGATCCAGGGCAAGCCTCTGCTCAATGGGCTGTTCGGCGCGCCCAATAGCCAGGTGGCCCCTGAGGACCCCGAAGGGAGGGAGGTGCTGAGGCCCATCATGAACCTCACCGCGACGAACGATCCCTCGACTTTGGAGGAGATGTTGGCGCCCTGCCATACTTCGCGCAGTGGAGGTCCATCGTGCTGGGGCCCGACGAGGAGCTCGCGTGGTCGTTCGACGACCTCAAAGGGGCCTTCTACCTCTTCAGGCTGCCCGATGCTCGCCGCTGTTTGCGTTCGACGCGGTTTTCGGCGCGGCGAGCCTTGGCTTGGGGGCGCCGTTCGGGGGCCAGGTCTACTTGAACGCTGTCACCATGCCGATGGGGTACAAGGGCGCGATGGGTCTGGTGCAGCATGTGCACGGGCGCATGCTGCCCGAGGCCGAGCTGGGACCCCCGCCGACTTTAAGGGTAGCTCTTTGGGAGATGTTATAGTATC